ATATATATATACCGATATGAATAAAGCAAACAAATAAAAAAAAACTCTCCCAAATAATTGGATTTAAACATTTTTAGGAATTTTTTTAAATGGAGCAAGTAAAAGTCTTTTCATTAAGAATCACTAATTTATATAAGAGCTTAGATTTGAAAGAGTTTCCGAATTGAAACTCAAATTAAATTAAATCCAGCTTGAGAACTGAACTGTTTTATTTCTAGTTAAGCGATATATTTGTCTCCTATCTTATATTACCAATGAGAAAGTACGCAAAGTTTGATATATACCATGCGAAAAATCAGCCTTTGGTTCGAGTTCAGACCATTCATTGTCTTTCAGCTGGAAGAGACTAAACAAGAGAGTTACGTGCACTAAAGAAGTTTTAATTTACATTTTTTAGGGTCAATCTAAAATAAATATTCAATATTTATATTTTGGTAATTTAAGTGTTAAAGAGTATATATACTATTTATTGATGACTTCTATATTTCATTTCAGCTTAACAGCAATTTTCTGATCCTAAGTAAGTATACTACTGAATATAAGCAATATCTATCTAATCCATATTATTAAGACTTTTGAAAACACTAAAATAGAGTAGTTCTTGACTTTCAGCTTAAAATTTCATATACAAATTTTCCGAAAAATATATAAATATATCCAACTAAAAATACAAATTTTATAATAATTCATAAATCTCCCCTCAATTTTATTCACAAATCAAACAAAATCGAATATAATTTCTGTATACTTTGGTTTTTAATAAATAAATCGTTTGTCTTTACAGAGAAGCAAAATGCACGATTAACAATTACTTATTCATATTGGAGACAGATGGGAGACAGAAATGCAATTTCAGCTTATCCTTGGACACTTTTGTTGTTCTTTGATTTTATAGTTAATAGAAAAAGCGCAGCTTAATACTAAACCTAACTAATGCTTGAGCTGATGGCCCAGAGCGAGTCCTACGGACAGCAGCCATAAGAGCGCAAGCCGGTGCGCACTGCTCTGGCCGGACTTGGAGCTCTCCGGCGTAATGACGTCCAGCGAATGATCGCCCAGCACGACCTTGGTGGCCACAAATATGTTCTGGGGCAGGATCTGGCAGTAGTAGGTGTCGGCATTTTGCGGACTCGCCTTCAGTATGGTCAGATCGTAGTTCCGCGGATTCAGACTGAAGTTGGGCAGCACCACACTGCTGCCGCTGGTGATGATCTTGGAGTCCTGGTACCAGAGTATGACGTTCTCTGCAATACATATTTCAATTAGCTTCAATTTCAGTCGATTGACCTGAATTCACTTACCTTTTGTGATGTTCTCATCACACTTCAACACAACATCCTCGCCCAGTATGCCCCGCTGGGTCAGAGTCCTGTTGCGGTATCCTGTTACGCCGGTCTTGACAACACCTGTGGGCTTCGTCTGTGGACTGGGCGCACTCAGCTCGTCCGTGTCGTAATCGTAATCGTCATTCAGCATCATATCGTCGCTGTCCGCATTTGAGGGGTAGCCTAGAAGTGCAAAAGACAATTATTGAGACTTTAATTATTATTTGGAAAAGCTTCATAAAATATCTCATTCAAATGTGTTGCTGTCATTAAAAATCGGAACACTAAAGATTGAACTTTATAGCCAGACCGCAGCCGACATCATACACAAAAGCGTGGGTGGCTCAACCTTGAATTTGGAATTCTTTTACGATCTGATTATCTGAAGTTTTACGAGTGCATCTCGAAACTATGGGGAATATTCAAAATAACAAAAATTATTACTATTTGGTAAAACAATAGGGCCATAAAAACAGCCATGAAATAAAAAGAAACAAAAGCCAAAACAAAACTCGCGTTGGCCGCAACTATAACTGGACCTGGTCCATTATGACCCACATTTCCTGGTGGCTAATCACTTGAACGTTTCAATTAAATTGAAATTCAAACCGGGAAGTTTTTGTTTTGCCAATGCATTAGGGGCACTCATCAGGCGGTGCTGATGTTGATGTTTTTAATAGCTTATATACAGTTTTCAATAGAGCAATATGCGATGTGGATGTGAATAGAGATGGAGATGCAGATGGGCGAGATAGGTAAATACACAGATACGGAAGCGGATATGATATGAGAGAGGGGCTGAGATATGTTTATATCGATATGTAAATGTAGACATGGATAGATACAGATACAGATACAGATACAGATACAGATACAGATACAGATACAGATACAGATACAGATACAGATACAGATACAGATACACAGATGCGGGTACAGATGCACTTGCTAATATATTCAGATACATATTTATATGTAAATATAGATACATTTCGATATATTCAGATATATGCAGATGCAGATATATAAATAGATGCATAAGTGAAGGAGCAGATGCAACTGCAGCCGCACAGATGTAGCTGCATTACAGATACTAATGCAATTACAGACATATTCAGACACAGATACACACACACACATACTAGTACATATTTAGCCGCAGATGCAGCAGCAATGATGCGGCTGCAGATCCCAGCGCAGCTGCGCACGGTCGAGTTAAGCCAATTCGCATATTTTTGCTCGCGTCTCACATTTTCAGATATTCATTGCTTCCTTTATAAATACACACACTGTCTGTGTGTTGGTGYTTACGTGTGTGTGTGTGTGTGTATATATTTTGTCAAAGTCGAATGGAAAAACATTTCACGGAAATGGGGTCAACTGAAACTCGGGTGCTCGCACACAAAAAATTAAAATAAGCGAATGGAAAGAGAAAACACTGCGCCAGCCGACAACAACAACAACCCCAACCCCCACCCCCACCCTAAAACGAGCATAGCCCGTGTCGGTCGGCCGATCGCCGCACCCACATGTGTGCATGCGGCCAACACATTGGTGGCATGGCTTATGCGGACAGTAGCTGTAGCTGCTGCCACTGTCACTGCTGGCTGGCTGTCTGGCGTCGCAGTCGACGTCGGCGTCACTTTGTGCTACTTTGTTTTAGTGGTGTCGACAGTGGACACAAAATCGAATAGCATTTCACAACAATGTCCATTTTCACTCTGACAACTGCAGTGCATGGCCAGACACACACACACACGCAGACACACACACTGATATATATCACACCCTCGCTCCTCGAGGCAGACAAAGCGTCGGGAGTAAAATTGGAAGAGGGAAACATTTGGACGATTGTGAAAAAGTTTAAATTTACATTCGTATTTCGCTGCTGCCATTTCTCTCTCTCTCTCTCTCTCTCTCTCTCTCTCTCTCTCTCTCTCTCTCACTCTCTCTCTCCTTCTCTCTCTGTTTCAGCTACTGACTGCATTATGGCTGTTGGTTTTTCTTTTATTGTTTTCTTTATTGTATTATTCTTTGGCACACACACACACACACACGCACACACACTTTATTATAGCCAGTTTTGTTGCCGTCGCCGCTGCTGCTCAGCGTTGCGTGTTGAAATTGTTAGTTGTCATATAGATCGGACACTCGCATAATAACAAACAACTGATAAAGTTGCTGCAGAAAGGCACGACTAGCAGAATGCCCTATAAAATTGATGCAACTTAGTAGAAACTAACAATATACAAATAAATATAATTCATACTTTTAATAGAACAGTTTGCTTAAGCACATCATACCCGATCTAAACCTATTACAGGGTATTTGCACGCTTATAGACTTGGGTTTCAGTGACTTAATTGATAGCGGATATGCCGACAGCCAAGTGTAGTTGACTGAACTTGCTTGAGTTTGGCGCCCGCCCCCAACTTTGAAATGAATTGAAAATTTTTAAGGCACATTTCACTTGGACGGTAATTTCCTCTATGTAATAAAGAGAGAGCATACGCATTGACCCCATCGACTTCGCTCTGTCGTAAATTTCGTGCCATTAACAACCCAAGTAACAATAATAAGAAATTCTTCTCGCTTCCCAGAAAAACGCCAATGAACCGGGAACACAATGGACGCTGCAGACTGCAGTTGATATATGCCGCAGCCAGGGGCAGTTGCTGGCTTTACTCTTTCGGCAAGCGCTGAAACATGTGCCATGTGCCATTTGCATTATAATGCAGCACAGAATATATATTATTTATTTATGCAAAGAAAAAAATTAAAAGGGAACTTAACGCGGATCTATTTTGCCATGCAAAAAAAATCGATTGAAAAAAAAAAAAACCACAAATATTGTTAGTGGATATTCAGGAATTTAAAAACAGAAATCTTACCTATATCAATCAAATTTAAGGAAAATAAAAAAAAAAAAAATAAAGTGAAAAAAAATCTACAAAAATTTTTAATATGTTGTAGGTAGATTCTTCTTTATAAATGTTTCGAGTTAAAATAGTAAAAGAAATTGTTTTTGCTTCTCTACTAAAAATTTATAAATAAATCTTTGCTCATGTCAAATTCTTTAAAAATGTAGAACATTAAAAATCGCATTAAAAAAGACTACAAAAATTTAAAATATTTAGAAAATGATTGCTACATTAAATTTTGAAAAAATTCCTTTGCTTTTATATAAGCCTTATATTATAAGGAATTTTTAATAAATCTTAGATAATATATAAAATATTATTGGAAAATGTAGAACAATTAAAAATATCATTTAACAATATTACCAAATTTTAAATATAAATATAATAGATAAGAAATTCAGTTACACTTTTTTCTGCAATTTTTTTATTCATTAATCAAAGCATTGTATGAAAAAAAAAAAATAATAATAATAATAATAATAACTCTTTTAATGTTCCAGATTTCTGTTGCAGGAAATTTATTCCCATGGGACTGAATAGTTTTTGTTTATTATTATTTTTTTTTTTATATTTTGTTGTTCATGCTCTTGGTGTTTAAGATAACAATTGTGAGTTGATCTTGTTTTTTTTTTTTCTGTAGCTTTGTTTCTATTTATGTTTTTATTTTTTCCTGGCTTTAATTGGTACTCAGAATTAGGCCAGAAACAATTTATCATAGGCTGAATGATTCTCGAAAAATGTTCGGCTAATAACCCCTAGAGCTGACCCGAATGACGCTGACCAGTGGGTAGCCATAAGCCTGGCGGGCAAAGCCTTTGCCTCTTTGCCTTTGCGCCGGATTCTGCCAGTCACTGGAATCATCCAAGTGCAGCAGTTTTTACTACCTGATAAGCCGCCCGAGTGCCTCATTTGTGGCCGAGTCTGGGGCCGCGGCCGAGGCCTAAAAGCGCTCAGCGAGCTCTGATCTTTGATCTCCTGTCTCGCTGTTTGTCTGTCTGTCTGTCTTGTACTGTTGTTTCAGGTTTTCCAACAGCCAGCCCCTACGTGACTGACCCTGCTGGTGCGCAGTCCCGACTCGGGCTCGGGTCCAGGTTGGCCAACTGGCGAGTGCGTTATACGAGCCGAAAATTATGCTGTTTGTGTGGCGGATGGATGGTGGCAGATAGAGACATGAAGCGAAGCGGATAATGATAATGGCATTCTGGTTCTTTGAAAGCGATCAGGTTACGGCCCGAGGGACCAACAGACAGACAGACAGGCAGCCAGACAGATAGTCAAACAGAGAGGCAGAGATATAGCCAAGCAGCTCTACCTACGCACTGGCCCAACTCGACGGCAGATGTGCAGCAAATTCAGAGAACAAACACCCATTGACAAATAACCCACACAGTTGCAGACGAAATGCGGCATTCACAATTCGCATTCACAATTCACATTCGCAATTTACAATTCGAGTTGAAAGGCCGCGTGTCGTGTGCCCAGTCAAGGGGATTGAGTCGACAGATGTTTGTCGAGCGCATTTGCTGGGCAATTATCGAAAGCTGTTCGAATCGAGAATGCAAATCAATGTGCTTCATGAATTTATGGGACATGGCTGAGCGTGTTGTCCCATAATCGATATTCAATTGCAGGCGATCAAGTGGCTAAGGCAATAGAAATGAAAGTATGTACGATACGAAACCCGATGCACTTACAATTGGGAGTTGCAGCCAAATATAGACGAAGTACATTGATTTCACTTAGCCGGCCGAGCAGTTACATTTGATAGGCGCTTGTGCGTGCCTCGCCAGAGTTATTATCAGAGCCAGAGAGCGCCTCTCAAACATTTCTGGCACATACAGGGGGGGGAGAACATGGACAGCGTTTCCCGTTGCCCAAAGTGCACGTGTTGGCACTTATGAGGCGGGGCGAGCTCCGAGCTGCGGCCTCGCCAAGTGCTCAGATGCGGGCACATAGCCAAAAACAAAAAGAACCATATCTATATATATACATATGTTATTTATATGTATACATATATGTATGTCCATGTGCATATACATATATGTACATCATGTATGTACTTTAAAATCCAATAGGTCAACAATAGAAGCTAGCACAATCCAAGTCCAAGTCCAGCTACGAGCCGAAGACGCACGCCCGCCGCATACTAAAAAGCGCTTCCCATTTAGAGGGGTGCGGGGCGGGACGGGGCAGGGCAGGGCTTGGCTTGGCCTAGGGCTCGTGTTCCATTCAAGTGGCTGCGGCGGTGACTGCGACTGCGACTGTAGCTGTGGCATGTAATTAATATGCGGCACTCCTTTCCAGCACCGCCAACTATTTAGCGCAAAAGGCAACAGCAATTCTATTTCTTCTCTTCTCTTCTCTTCTCTTTCTCTTTCTCTTTCTTTTTCATTTTAATTCATTGCGCCTCTTTCTGTGGCCAGTTCTCTTGTATTATTTATTGCTTCGCCTCGGCCATTCCCTTTCATGTGCGCCACCTAATGGCGCGATATCCCCACAGACATCCATAATCCAGCCTCGCCATATCGAATTCCAATGCAGCTCAAATCATATTTTATGAAAGTGGTTTCCATAACATCAAATATTCATTTATTTGCACATTTTGTAGTCATTGGAATATTTTCAAAATTGGAAAAAACAATATGTATGCATTTATACAGTTATATATGTATAATAGTATTGAGATCTGCTACAGTCTATGATTTATTCGAATTGTTGAAGTTTTTAATGAATATTCGTTATATTTTTTAAAGTTATATATATA